ACCGCATGACCACTCCGCCGACGTTTGAAGTAACCCCAAAGAAACACAGAGCAGGAAGGCCAGCGTGAGCTGGACACTGTGGCCGTGCAGGCAGACTGTGGGAATCAGGTATCAGGTTGTGGCTGAGTGTCGATGTGGAACAGATGGAGTTGGAGCAGCTGGACACACACGCACACACATTAGCAGCCGTGATGTGAAATCCTCATGGCTCTCTCTCTCTCTCTCTCTCTCTCTCTCTCTCTCTCTCTCTCTCTCTCTCTCTCTCTCTCTATATATATAAAGATAGATAGATATATCGCGTGGACTTCGAGTCGCATCAATGCCTTGTGCTGAGATGAGACTGTCAGAAACAGGCTGCAGCCGAGGAGGAGGAAGAGGATTGAGTGACGTTGCCAGACCGAAGCACGAGCCATGCCAGGAAAAAGGAAACCTGAGGGTAATCGGGATCGGGCTATATCGTGGATGCGCTTGTAGCTTTCAGAGTTGGCCCGCATTGCAATCAGGCACCTCTATTCACTGGGCAGCCAAGATTCTTCAAGGTTGGATAGTGCCGTTTCCAGGAGAGTCTGTTGCTCTGGTGACGATGAATGTCCTTGTTCCAGGCATTCCGGAATGCTTCGTTGCAAGTGCAGACAGACGTCGAGACTCAGCACTGCACGCGCAGACATAAATGTCGTGTTAAGCGCAAAGTAACTAGCTGCGAATGCTAGCAGTGACGAAGACAATGTTCGGACTGATGCCTCAAATTGTCATATATGTACTCTACGTTGTGCTAGTCGTGAGAGCTGCTCCCTCCTGACTGCAACAGTTTGGAATGGCTGAGCGCTGTCTCCTCCGAATACCTGAAGTGTCGTTTGCTTTCACAGCTCTGGTGCTTGCCTTCTGGCTCCGGAAAGGCATACCAGCAAGAAGACATGAACGAGCAAGCCTTGCAGGTCCATGAGATGATCTACATCAAAGTACGACTGGTGCCTGCTGAGTCAGTTTCAACCAGATTTAAGATGCTGCTGATGTTGGTGGGTCATAAGAATACTGCCAGTATCTATGTCAACAAGCACCCGGACAATTGAAAGCCTGGCAAATGCACCATCACCCATCTAGATCATCATCGCCCCTATGACCGTCGACCGTTACTTCGAGTTGAACATGTGTGTTTCAATTCAGCCAAGCTGATCCATGCCTCGCGTTACAAGCATTCAGCAGTTCTCAGTTACAGCAGCTTACTCGACAAGCTTCCGATGTGCTGAAAACGCAGCAGCGCATGTCTATCATGGCGCTTTCGGTGGAGGTGGGAAGCGAAGCACCTAGTCTTGTATGCTTTCGAACTGCTGCAAAGCGAACTTCTAAAGGAAACCAACATTGACCACGCCGACCTGCAAGCTATCCTTCAACTACCCATTATCATCAGCCAAACATTGAGCGCCTTCAACCCTAAACGCGGCCTGCAGCTTTTGAGCTACTGCATGTCTTTACCCATAGGCCCCATAGTAGTTCCTTTTAGGGATTACCTTATAGGATTCTAAATATGAACCCAAAAAGGAACTACTTTGGGGCCTTCGGGTAGTGACTGACCTACCGCGTTGACAGTCTCGAAAGCCTGAACCCAAAGCCCCTGTACTATTTTGGGGGTTCCTTATTCTGATTATGGTATCATATACCCCAAGACCCTATTCTAATTATTAAGGCCCCAATTGCAAGGACCTTCTCTGGCGAGTCCGAATGTCAGAGCGTAAACCCGTGTCTGAAGCCTGTAAGTGTGACGGCGAGGCCTTTGCTTTCGTGGCACCTTTGCCTACACTGCCTGTCACCAGGCAGCGGGGGCGAGCCTAGGTCGGAGAGCGACGGTCCGATCCTTTATCCGAAGGGAACTACAACAATCGCGTTCAGGCCCGAGTACCTCGGAGGCTTGGGTAGATGCATCATCACCTCGGGCTCTTGGATACACACAGAGCACTAGCATCGCTTGCCGTAGGAAGTGCAGCCGAGAGAGATGATTCGTTGCTTGGGAGGCCAGCCTCCAGACATGGGCGCGCGACACCGGAAGCCCCGGAGAAAGGCCCATGATGCAACCGTCCCTTTCTGGATTTCTCGGGTTGAATTCGGGTCTCGGAATCAGGGTAGCGGTTGTCACAACCCTAAGCCACTCTCGGCCCCCGAACCGCAAAGGGCGAGATGGAACATCATGTGGTTCCGAGATCAGTATTCAAACACTATATAGTTCGTGGAGGCTTAGGCCTTGGGGCTTCAGCACTTAAGTTCGACCGGGATGTTGGGCTCCCCACAGTGTTGGGAGCTCTCAAAAAGGAACAACTGTGTCTGGACTGCTATAGTCCCAGACGTCCCTTCACTCTTGGACATTGTGCATGGCGCCAGCTGTCGAGGTGCTTCGTCAGCGCTCGCGGCGGCAGCCACAGCTTGTGCCGCAGTCTGGGCAAGGAGGCTGGTTGGAGTCAGCCTTTCGGACTTGGGTTTACGCAAGAAGGCTAGGGCTAACAGGTTTCAGGGTTGCAGGATTTGGGATCCTGACGATGTTGTCGTTGGTGACACTGCTGCTGCCGCTGCGGTCTTGCTGCCAACTGCCAGGGCACAGGAGGACAAAGCTTGAATGTGTTAAACGTTTGCTGCTGATTTGAGACTTTGCCTCTAGATTTCGTGACCTCTCGATTGGTTTGCTCAGCCTCTATATGTCGAACTTGCATTTTGAAACCCTCTCTGCCTCTGCTTGCAGTTGGGAGACTTGAACCCGGGAGAAAAGTGCCCTAAACCAGGGATTCGACCAAAAGTGCCAATCCTCAGGGGCCAAAAAAGCGCAGATAAGCATTTTATAGGGATATCCCTACCTTATTGGGCTTCATTATGAGGTTTTTTTTGGGATATCACTATCCTAATTTTTGCTTATGTGCTTTTTTGGGGGCCCTTCATCCACATAGCCTCAGGAGTCAGGGAGCAAGTTCTCAAGGTACTGCTCCAATATGCCCTGTAGTTTTGAAATCCAAGCCTCTACATCTGAATATCTCTTAATGTGAACGCAGGGGTGGGCCTGGTACACCCGAAAACCCTCACGACCCCAGAAGCTTACCTTTGGTTAGTAGGGAATGGAGGAATGGGGTACAATTATAATTATAACTACTCTTACTACCATTCTTCCATTCCCTACAAACCAAAGGTAAGTTATAGGATTATTAAGGCCCCTATATTATAGTACCCTGATAGATCCCTTATAGTAACCCTTATAGACCCCTTTAAAAGGCCCCTACTAGCCAAAGGTAAGGAAGGGGAGTTGACAGGGATTGCTCTCACCGGACTGAGGCTCTGAGTTGGGCTATCGTGGCCCAGGGTTCCACACATCCATGGGACAGGAATAGGCCGACGACAACAAAAAGGGATTTACAGGGGTTCCTTTAAAGGGGTCTATATGGGTACTATAAAGGTTTTGCAACAGAAAATATAGTCAGAACCGACGGCGACCGCGGTTCCCAGAATTCCGACATAAAGACCAATATTTCCATAAATAACAAGCCAGGCGCTCCACCGGAGCAGGGTCAATGACCAGGAGGAAGGCTATCGACCCGGCAGCTGCTTTCTTAGGAGTCGAGACCAAGTGATGGTCGCCTTGATGGGGTAGTCGTGTAGCATGGGGGTTGCTATACTAGGGTACTGTATAAGGGCTAGAAGTAGAAGTGCTACAGTACCATATTAGGGTACCAGAGAGGGCTATAAGGGGTGCGAATCAGAACAGTAGAAGGGGTGTTAGGTGGGGTGCTATACAGTAAGGCATTTTTCCATGGCCCAAAAGGCTGGTCGGAAGAGGCTTGCAAGGTTACTACCACGGAAGCGCGGTAGGAAACGAGCAATCGAGCAGAAGGTTGTAGAATCATACAGCTGCAAACATGGTCCCTACCTCCTTATGGTGTATTGCAGGTGAGCTTTATTCCAAAGCTTCATTCCAATTCCGCTTTTACTGATGAGTCTACCCAGAGGCCCCAAAGTAGTTCCTTTTTGGGATTACCTTATAGGATTGTATATACGAACTCCAAAAAGGAACTACTTTGGGGCCTTTGGGTAGTTCTGATTGGTTGAAGGATCTCCAAACATGCTTGGTTTGCGATGTTTCGTCTTCGGAGCATTAGGTTGTTTTTGGCCCGACAAAAGCCGGCTGTCATTGTGCCTGCTGCCATTCTACTGTTTTCAATTTATAGAATAACTATGAAAATCTGCTATAAAATTTGCACCTGCGTACATACACACGAATTCATATAGTTGATTTCCTCGATACTCGCGAAGACCGACTCTTGAGCATGTGGTTGCTGGGAGGTTTAGGATTTCTGGTCTTGGGCGGACGGGTCCTGGGATGTGAAACGACGTCCTTGGTACTAAAAAAGCCCTCGGCCTCGACTGCCTTGTGCGGGTGTGAGCGTCGAAATGCCGCAGGCTTCCGAGCCGCCCTCCGAAGTTGACAGTGGCTTCCGAGAAGATGAGGCACGGCGCGAATCGACAGTTGTGTGGCTGAGTAGGATCGTCGTCGTCTTTGTTGTCACCGTCGCGGAGTCGTGGCGATACTCAGGGTAGCAGTAGCAGTAAATAGAAATAGCAGTAGCAAAGATGGTGGCTGTTGTCGGGTGACTTGGTACGAAGACTGCCCCGGACCAGCCCCTGCGTCAAATACCGCTTAGGGCCTAGTTTAGGGTACGGCAATGGTGTGATGAGTACACTGATTAGTTGATTAAGAAACACAGGTGGTGTGAGGGCGTAATGCAACAACTTCGAAGAGAACATGCCAGTAGCCTTGCTCTCCAGTCGCTTCCGAAGGCTCCGACTTTCAGCCATTTGGTTTACGAGTCTTGCTGGGAAGAGCGTCCAATGTGTCCGAACTCCTGTCTCGTGTGTAAGAGGTGAGAAGCAATGATCTCAAGCACACCGCATATCGTGGCTGCTTCTACAGAGCTCATTGAAGCAAGATGTTGTATTGAGTTGTTTGTGTTGCCTGTGGTTTTCGGAGCATGTTCGGCGGCAGCTACTTCGGTGCACGAAGCGGCTATGGTGGGGGAAGCGGCGCGGTAGAACCTGCTGGCGAGGATGGGCCGTGTGCCGGTGTGCAGGCATCGCAGGGCCACGGTGGCTTCATCCCTGCTGAGGATGACAACGCTGGGCCAGGCATGCAGCCAAATCCAGTTTCCGGCAAGACAGCATCGCAGACGTTAACTCCTGTCACCGTTCGTATGCTGCTGGATGCTGCGGCCTCCAGTGGCCAGCATGGCCCGGACTCTCCATTCCGAGTAAATGGAGGCCGGGAGCTCCAGCTGTTGACGGTCGTGGCCTGCGTAGAGGACATCAAAGTTCAGGAGATCGGCATCTGTCTAACGCTAGACGATGGCACGGGCAGAATTCGCTGCAACGTGTACCCCGACAGCGATTCCGCATCTGGTCCAGAACTACAGAAGGGAGACTACATCCGCATCTTCGGCTCTCTTGGACACTGGGACAAACAGGAGGGTATCAGGGCACGGGGCATGGTGAAAGTCGAGTCTGCCAACGAGATTGCTTACCACACTATAGAGGTCGCCCATGTGCACCTGAGTGTCAGTGGAAAGTTGGTCAGGTCGAGCGCCTCAGGGCGGGCCAACCACAGCTCCCCCATGCCATCGATGCCAAGGACGGCGTTGCCCGCCACGCATGCGCAGCAGGTCGCCCCGACGCAGCCAGCACAGTTCGCCGGTTCGCATCACGCACAGACGCCCACGGCAGCGTCAAGGCTTCAGCATAATCTCGCAGGACCGGTGAACCCAGGATATGCATCCCACGGAGGCAACATGCCGGCGCAAATAACGTCCCGTGTGCAGCAGCCATCCCACGGTGGCCAGCTGGAAATCGGTGCACAGACTTTCCACCCGGCCCCAGCAATTCATATGCAGAGGCCTCAGCCACAGATGCAGAGTGGTTATGGAGGCGCAACAGGCGGAGCTGCACAGGCCAGGACATCACCTTTCCAAGGTGGACTAGGCGGGCACCATCAGCCTGCCACAAACATGCCGCCGCCAGGAGGGGCTCTCGGCAGCAGTTTATATAATGGTGGATCCAATGTTAACAGTCTCTATGGCGGAGCAGCAGCAGGTAGTGGGCGATTCCGCTAACATGAATTGTAGAGTGCAAGAAATAATTCGTTTTCTTACGCTTGCGCGTATGTATAGCTGCACGGTTGCTCGATCCTGCCCTGTGTAGGATCGATTCACGTCTGGTGAGGCAGGTGCACAGATGTCCAAAGCCGAGTGCGCGGGATGCAAAATCCCACACTTGCAGAATTGGCCTGTGACACTGCGGAAGGCAGGAAAAATGTTGCAGAATTTGTTTTTGGGGAATCCCGAAGCTTTGGGAGCTTCGGAGCTGATGCTTCTTCACTCCGGTTCAGATGTGTGTGTGTGTGTGTTGTGGAAAGCCTTGTTGAGATGGAATCTGACGAAATGGGAATCTACCAAGATGACTCTGCTCTGCAAGAGCAGACCCGAAGTGTTTGGCTTCTAGAGACAAAGGAAATCCGATAGCCACCTGAGTGCTCCCCCTCCTGCATAGCAGCTGTTTCTACCTTGAGGAAAGCTACGAAAGGATCACCTCCCCTCCCCCCGATAAAAAGCGGAATCGCGCTCAAGGTCGCTAGAACGGAAGCTCGGCAACCCGATGCCAGAGAGCCCTTCGGCGAGGCCTTTGCCGCACATGGGTGATTCTGAAGCAAGCCCAACTAGCCCGAAAGCTGTGCAACCTCGTTCTGAGTTTCGTTACATCATCGTTCCTTATAGCTTGACGCTGTAAAAATGCCTGGGTCTAGAGTCGAGTGGGAGACTTGAAGTTCTCACTTGTTTGGTTTGCAGCCATGGGCGACGACGGGTGAGCATCTGGGGATTAGGGTCCCTCGGCCCAATGGTCTGCACGTGAGTCTTTGCAGCTGCGCTGTGGCTCTCGTAGTCTTCCCCCCTCTGTGACCCCGAGCCCATGATGTCTCCGCGGAGTTTGCATCCTCAGTTTTCTGCTGGCAGCGAGCATTGAAGTCCCAAAACTCACCAAAACCCAGTGACTGATGGCAGGGCACGAGCTCGGAAGCCCAGCAACCCGACGTTGCTGGCGAGGACACATTACAAGCCTGGCAAAGCTTGTGGCAACGGTTGACAGGAGGATGTTCTCAGGATTTCTGTTCCGGGGGGCTACAGTCGTCTGTCTCCACCCAGCATGTGTCAACTTCTTCGTATGACCAGGAAACTCAATAGGATGCGACGGCTCGGACGGCACCTAAACATTATGGCAGCGAAGCCCGGGTGCTTTCTGCTCCGGGATTTCTTATCATCGCAATGCGAGGAAACGGTGGACCCGCTCAGATACACAATCTTTTGTTCGCCCATACCTTCCTACCTTCTACCTACCTGCCCTGCTACCTACATGCCTACCCACCCAGCTACATACACACCTGCGTATACATACGTACATTGTTACATAATGTTACATACGTACATACGTACATACATACATACATACATACAAAGGAGAGAGAGGGAGAAACGACTGTATTCGACTGTAGCTATTAACTAGCGTTAGCTTCTTGTGTTGATGGTGTTGAGAACGACCCCTTGTGCTGCTAAGCTGGGCTCAAGGCCCTTCAGAGGGCCCAGGGGCCCTTTGCCTTTTGTCTCTCATAGCACAGCCTTCCATTTTGAGCCGGGCCATGCAGCCAGGCAGCCGTGGGAGCAAAGTTAGGAGCTGTCCGAGCGTTTTCGAAGGGCAAGTATTGTAACCCAGGGGCACCGAAGACCCATACTAAGTTAGAAGAGAAGCTCCAGAAGCTGAAAGGCTTCGTGTTCACGTTGCTTCTGCTAGCCGCCGCCAGCGTGTCCAAAGCAGAGGCCACTACGATGTCTCAGCAGGGGAGTGGGAGGGTTTGGTGAGGGTCGTTCATCTACATATGGTCAGGGCTACAGTAGAGCTCTATCGCGAATTGTGCGCTAGTTTAACGGGTACATCTGCACATCTTGTTTGTCGTTGGTTCCTTCGCTCATGTCCACTGGTCAGCCTTTGCTCTTTTCCTGCGGCCAGCGTTACACGCTGCGCAAGGACTTCCTCTATGCTGGAGCAACGACTTTGGCACCAACTCCTGCTGGGAAGGAGCAGCTCGGAATACTTCGGGTTCAGGGTTTCAGGTCCCCGGAAATCGCAATAGGCCTGGGGTTTAAGCCGCACGTTTTCCAGATCAGGTGAGTGCTGGAGTTGGAGCTTGGAGCACTGTCGGACCTCTGAACAATCCTCTGCTCTGACTCAGTGCTTGAGTGCTCATTCCAATTAAACTTCTCGAATGAGGGACTCAATGTTGAGGTCTCCTCTACTGTACCCATTGTAACTCCTTCGTTTGTCTCGCCGAGTTGTGCATTAGAGGCACTAGAGTCACTAGAGCCTAACCATGGCTAGCTCGAGTCGTGTGAGAGAGCGCTTTCGATTTTCTACTGCTGCGAGCTTTCTGAAGTAGTGCTTCGGTGTGAAGGCGTAACAGAGCCTGAACCCTATTCTCAGCCCCGTCAACCCCACATTCCGAAACTCAAAGCTCTTTTCAGCTTTGCAGCCGCACTTGATGAGTTCGGGGGCTTTGAATGAGGTCGCAGACGCATTTCGAGAACACGCTACCAGCAGCGCCGCTTTCTCAGATTTGAACGGGTCGGGTTGAAGCTTCTGTCCCGGTAGTCCTTTTCCTAATTCTTTTTTCAACATGGCTCCTAAACCGTGAAATCATCAGAGCCGTTGCTTCACTGGTGGTGCTGTCTTGGACAATTGAGAGTTCTTTTTGCTAATGTTCCCCTGGGGCGAAACTTCGTCTTGAGGGATGTGTTCTTTGTGTAGGCCTCAACGAGGCAGGCCGACGCTGCACAACAGAAAAGGCCGTTGCACCTTAAAAAAAAAAACTCTAAACACCTCCCAGATTCTTCGCATGTGTCACGAACGAGGGAAGCGAGCCGCAAAGCTCAGGAAGTTTGTGTCCGTTGGTGAGGCGCCGGCCACGACCAAGCTGAGACAAGGGTTGCAGGTTAAGGATTTATGGGATCAGGACTTCTTTCTGATGCTGTGTATTTGTTCGTCAGACATGGTGTGATGGTGGCTTGCGTCATCGTTGCGACCCTAAACCCTAAACCCTAAACACTCGAGGCCGCGCCGCGGGGTGGCCTACCCAGTGCGAACGTGCGAGGTGTGAAAGTCGCTGCAGCGCCTCGGAGGTGTTTGCCCATATAGGGGGGTTTCCGAAAATTAGGGGTCCCGCAATTTTGGGGTCCTTATAATACGGATCCTACTATGTTAGGGTACTACATTGGGTCCCCTATTTTCGGAAACTCCCATAGAACCGGCAGGAAGTATCTCGTCGAGGCGAGCTCGTCTGCAACGCAAAAATTCACGCCTGTGCCATATGGGTGGGTTGCCAAAATTAGGGTTGCTTTCTGGGTGCCCTGAATCATAGGTGCCGTATTATCATGGGGACCCAAAACGGGACCATGATTTTGACAACCGCCCATGAAAATTAGTCGCTCGGTGGCGTAACTGTTTGAGATAAGGCGCTAGCTGTCCAGTCCGGCAGCTCCAATGCATCTGCGACACCAGCGGCAACAGCAACCACACCTCAACCAGCTGCCACGGCTACCACGCCACCTGCGCAAATCGCTGCAGCAGCAGCGCTTGGGCCCAGTAACAAGACAGCGAAACCAGTGCAGGAGACTGCCCCGGCGGTGCCCGTGCACGGTGGCCAAGCACCCAGCGGCAAGTTAAAAGCCAGATCTGCTGCGGATCAAGCCGCGCACCCGGTCAGCATCACGCCAGTCTCCGTGCCACCTGTGCAAGCAGCCACACCGCAGCCCGCAGAAACTGCGGTGCAGGCTCCACAAGGCAGCTCACCTCCCCTGGAGAAAGCTAGCGAAAAGCCAATCGAAAAGCCAATCCCTGCACAGCTCCCCAAGCCAGAGATGGTTGCGGCAGCACCCAGTGAGCCACCTGGTGCTCAAGTGGGGCAAGCAGTCAGTTTGGTTCCGTGCGAAGGGTGCAACTGTAGTATGGGCCTAAGTCATATATGTGCAACAACTGAGCAAAAAGTCGATGCATTTGAGGCTTTCAGGGACTCCGGCCCCGAGCTCGAAGCCCTCGCTTCCGGCTGCTGCGGGAGGGAGTCCCGCCCATCTGCAGCCTACGCCAACCATGGCGTCTGCAGGTGCGCACAGCAGAGCTGCAGGTCGGTTTCCGAAAATAGGGGACCCTAATACAGCACCCTAATTAATAGGATCCTTATTATAAGGACCCCCAAATAAGGTACCCCCTATTTTCGGAAACTCCCATATGGGCAGCTTCAGACCACTGCAGAATCCAATCCGGGTGCATCGGCGGCCAATCGAAGCTGCAGTAAGTGTGTGCATATATATATATATATACATACATATATGTATGTATGTGTATATATATATAGGCTCAAGAAGAGTAGGGCTTGCCCAAAACCGGAGTTGTTCAAACTTGAAGATGTGTCAGGTGCTGCGAATGCCACCCAGGCCATCGCTGGCCTGCCTACCGGCCGCCTGCTGGCACAAGACAGCTGAAGATTGATACTGGCATATTGCATTATGTCGGATATTTCGTCATGCACTACACTTCATCTTATATCCTAGACTATACAAACTTGAACACTGTGACACGAATGGGACGAATCCTGCCATTGATAGTTCCTTGCTTTCCCTGTCGGACAGCCGCAGGCAGCCCTTCCAGATGCTCTTGGGGGGGCAGGCTTTTCGTTCCAAGCATAATCGGCGCAAACTTTCGAAAGGGTATTCAGGCACAAACTTCGGAATACATGCTTCCTGAGGCTTCTTGTAGTCCCCTGAGTCCAATCTATCCATGTACCTACTTACCTATACCCATCCATCCAGCCAGCCATCCATCGATCTATCCATCGATCCGTGCATCTGTCGTTCTGTTTGTCTGTCTATGTTAGTCTATTAATATGTTATGTATATATATATATATATATCTATATATACTGATATTTATTAACTGCGTGCTTGTCATTTCCATTATTCTCCGTTTTGTCATGAACCTTATTCGTAGGATTGCTGTTGCTGCGGCCGCCGCAGATACGGCTTTACATCGTTCACTTTTTTGAAAGAGCCTGATGTGGAGCTCCCCGCCAAGATTCTCGAACTGTGAAGGCACGACCCCCTTGCCGAAGCCGTCAAAGCCGACTGCCGTCCGGGTCTCAGATGTATGACTGTATGAACATAGGAATCTGTACACAGCATGCTAGAGTAGCATCATGATAGCTCGCACACTTTAACCGGAGCTTTTCAGTGTGGGCGATCTACGTTGTGGTCTAGACGGGGCCGTGCCACCTTGCTGCCTCAATGAGTGCGTGGTGCAACCCTTGCGTTATCTGCAAGTCGGGGCATAGAATGCAGAGACTGCTGTGTGTGCGTGTGTGTGTGTGTCAGTGTGTCCGTGTGCCCGTTGTGCCGCATAGTGCTAGAGAGACTCACAATAAATGCTACTTCGGTCAATGAGAGCTTGCTTTGCCTTGCATCCGACCGGAACTGCTACCTGCTACAGAACAGACGTCCGCAATTCCGATTTCGGGATCCCGGCGCTCATTCTTACTCAGCAGACAACTGCATCTTTTGCCGAATGGAAGCTGCAAGTAGAACCTGCCTTGACTCATGGCCTTTGAGACGCCATTGGGTCGAGACCCTGCAGGTAAAAGAAACCAACAGGCCAAAACTGCGAAATCCCGTATGAAACCATTATAGGAGCCCTTACAAGGTCCTTAAGGGACCCGTTCAAGGAGCCCTTCAAAGCAACCCTAGGCCTCCGAAATTGCGAGGTGTCGCCAGTGCCCCCCTCTGTCATTCCAGCAACTGCGCCAATGAAAGTCCGGGCCTTACATCTACTGTCTTTCAAATCATGGAATGGTCATGACGACCTTAGAAGTGCGGGGTGTTATACGGTACTGCACAATCTGTTTGTCAATATCTGCCTTTTTCCGCATGCACGGATACCAGCAGCAAACTATTCTGTCAACCGAAGGCTGTGAGAGGATCGTTTGCAGTATTCTCAGGTTTTTGTCGTTCTTACGAGTGAATATCCGTCCGGACTTGGAGCATGGCCCAGGCGAATGCGGGAGTCCCCCTTCCTTTGGCCGGGGAAGTGGTGGCAAGTGGTGCCGCCGAGGTGTGCTGTTGGCATTAGTACAGGGCCCTTTGTACCTAGAATAGGGCTTGGGGGCATATTATACTATAATTGTGTAGACCCTTACATCATAATAGGCCTTACATCAAAGGTTGCCTGCAATGCTTGGAGTTTGTAGGGCTGATACTGTAGACTCTAAAAATTTGTTTGGAACTTCAACGGTTGATGCTGGGGCTGGACGAAGTTTGGGCCTCTGCTTAATCAAGCTTGAACTTGGTACTGTGATCCCAGTGCCAATATTCGGTGACACAGTTGTTGGCTTTAGGAGAGGTTTGGCCAGCAGACCAGCGTGAGCACAACATCTAAGCCGAATGTTTGAATCAGCAAGCTGGAGCTTGACCTCCAGTCCCGAGGTGTTGAGGGCTGTCGTTTTTCGTTTCCACCTTGGATGTTGCAGGAGTGCTCCACTATGCTACCAATCATGTTGCAAACTGTTTTTTGAAACAGGGTTTGTGATACAGGATGACACGAAGCAAGCATCCTTCTTGGTCGGACGGTTGCCCTTAACCCGTGTTGTCCAAACCTGCAGGGGGAAAGCATCCAAGTGGCGCAGCCTACACCGTGGAGTCTTGATCCGTTTGATCGCATCAGGCACAATCACAGCCGCCCAATGTTGTGCACCCATCAGCCACGACGGTGTCGGTGGCCAGCGGGATCAGCCAGGCAGGAAGTCTAAAGTCTAAGGCATGCTTTACTCTGTATAGATTTTGATGGAAAAGCAGGGTGATGCTTCCTCTGAAAGCCATGCAGGACAGAGTCGCTCAAGCGACCTTGCACCTACAATGACCTGCAGCCCCCTGAGATCCCTGTAAAAACCCCGGATCCTAAACCCTTATGGAAACCCTACGAAAGCTCTCCACACTCTACAACTTTTACAGAATCCGTAACCCTTAAGCCCTAAACTCTAAACCCTTGCTTGTGTGAACCGTTCTAGTTAACCGACGCGCACCAAGAACCTCGTCTGGCTTGTCCGAGTTGCGAGAGCGTAAACTCTAAACCCTAAACCCTAAACCCTGAACCCGAAACTCTAAACCCTAAATCCTAAACTCTAAACCCTAAACCCTAAACTCTAAACCCTAAACTCTAAACCCTAAAACCCTAAACTCTAAACCCTAAACCCTAAACCTCTCTACCTATAGTAACAGTAATTTAAACCCTAGGGTTTAGGGACCAGGGGCGACCAACCGCCACGAATGACTAGAAGGTTTAAACTAACATTGGTAGAGAGGTTTAGGGCCTAGGTTTGGGCTTTGGGGTTTAGGGCCTAGGGTTTGGGCTTTAGGGTTTAGGGCCTAGGGTTTGGGATTTACGGTTTAGGGCCTAGGGTTTAGGGCCTAGGGTTTGGGCTTTAGGGTTTAGGGCCTAAGGTTTGGGCTTTTGGGTTTAGGGCCTAGGGTTTGGGCTTTAGGGTTTAGGGTTTGGGCTTTAGGGTTTAGGGCCTAGGGTTTGGGCTTTCGGGTTTAGGGCCTAGGGTTGGGGCTTTAGGGTTTAGGGCCTAGGGTTTACGCAAAGTACAGCAGTCGTTGCCACCCCGCTCGGGCGCCCAATTCCGATGAGAGTTGTTTCGGCTTCGGAGTGCGCATGAGAGCTTCGGAGACTGGGGCCTTGGGTCGGCCATGGTCGGCCGCTCCAGTTTTTCTTTTCCCACCCGCGCCCATAAAGGGCGGCTCCCACCCTTAACTAGCTCCGCCTTTTAGGGTTTAGTTTCCTAAACTCTTTTCTCCTTTCGGAGGGTATTTTCTATCGCAAGGTACGAGAAGCGAGTTCTGTAGCAATGCATGCGGTCGTATAAGACACGAGTGCTGCAGCAATGCATGCCTTCTAAGGGTGAGTGTCCTAAATTGTTTTGTTTCAAGGTACGTGACGGCTGGCTTACAGGAGCCAAAAGGCCATGCTAAAGCATAGAAATACGATTCGTCGTTACCACATAACCCTGAAATGCCGCATCGTCGGGTATATGTCGTCGTCTGTTAGCTTAGCGACCAGTTAGTGCGTTGAATCATGAAAATCGCATGCTACAGAGATACAATATCATAAACACAGGCTAAACTCGCATTGTCCAGATAGCTGCTGCCTTAGGTGGGATGCTTCAAGCTTGCAAGACTTGCATACTAACAGAGTCCAAGAATCCGCTGGCTACCAACAGGTAAAGATACTTCTGCACAAACCTCGTCGATCAGTCAGATTCCTGCATCGTAGGCTTCGTTCTTGACTGGAACAAGATTTTGGGTGCAGGATTTTTGGCCCAAATCGTAGGATCCGCGTCGGGGGAATATCTACTTTAGACTCGAGCCAACATATTCCAGGCGCATGAATTTCAGAGAACACTCTGTCCGAATCTGTCGGGCCTCACATTTTCTCCGAGTACATGCCCAAGCCTTGTGCCTCAGGTTTCTCGAGCAAGATTTTGGGTGCAGGATCTTCGGACCAAATCACATGATTCGCGCTGGTGGAATATTGCTTAGTTTCGAGTCAACATATTCCAGTCGCTTGAACTTCAGCGAAGCCTTCTGTCCGAATCTATCCAGCTTCCCTTTTTGTCCGAATACATTCCCAAGCTCTTTGGTTTCAGGTTTGTCGAAACAAGATTTTGGGTGCAGGATTTTTGGCCCAATCGCATGATCCGTGCCGGGAGAATATCTGCTTTAGGTTCGAGCCAACATATTCCAGTCGCTTGAATTTCAGGAAAGCATTCTGTCCGAATCTATCCAGCTTCATATTGTGCCCGTTTTTATCCCCAAAACCCTTTGCTTCAGATTTGTCGAAACAAGATTTCGGGCGCAGGATTCTTGGCCCAATCGTATGATCCGCGCCGAGGGAATATCTGGTTAAGGTTCGAGCCAAAATATTCCAGCCGCCTGGACTTCAGGAAAGCATTCTGTCCGAATCTATCGAACCCCAGATTCGGTCTCAATACATGTCCAAACCCCTTTGCTTCAGGCCTGTGGAACAAGATTTTGGGTGCAGGATTCTTGGCCCAATCGCATGATCCGCGTCGGGGGAATATCTGCTTCAGGTTCGAGCCAACATATTCCAGCCGCTTGAAC